GTAATTGTATATACATAATTAATTTAACCAAGTAAATAATGAATGGAAATTCTCGAAAATATAGAAATAAATCAACATAAAAGAGCGTGATTATCGGAAAAATCCGGTATCATACTAAATAAGTCATAAAATTTGGTAGAATAATGATTATGTAAATGCACTTAGAGAAGTTTTACTGTATTCTAATAAACGTATAAATTAACCATTATATATATGTTGTAAACTTATAATAATAATTCAAACATATAGTTTTATTAATACATCTTTATAAAATTTATGAATATGTATTAGTGTTAAATTTAAAACTACGTATCGCTATATTTTCCGATTTCTAAAACTCGAAACAATGACAAAGATCCATGCATTGGATTAGTTACACAGATTAATTAATCTGTATAAGTACGTACTGTATAAGTTTAAGCCATTATCTTTATTGAAATTGTTGTCATCAATGATATTAAGAAAAGACCAAGAAATCGAAGAAATTCAACATCACTTTAATGAAATAAGTGAAAAAATTTTTCATCAAGAAAATGCAGTTATAATTATCGGTGACACAGGAGAGGGAAAAACTACGTTATTAGGATATTTAACCGGGATTCCCTTGTTTAGTAAAGAAGATGATCTTGGTGATTATATTATTTACGCTAAAGATTCAAATGAATTAGATATCAATGATAGGCCTATTTCACAAACTTCTTTACCAAAATTTCGAGAAGTATATTGGGATTGCCCTGGGTTTGGTGACACACGAGGTCCTGTGCAAAATATTGTGAATGCTTATTCAATTTATAAGTTAGTGAAAAATATAGAAAAATTAAAGATTTTACTCGTTATTTCTGAATCAATAATTAGAAGTACAAGAAAAAAAGAATTCTTAAATCTTATTAATAATTTGGGTGAAACTTTTAAAGTTACTGATGAATTAGTTCGGGGATTATGTTTAGTAATAACAAAAAGCAATAAGCTTGATGTTAGAAAAGTAAGAAATTGTTTCCGTAAAATCCTTGAAGAATATGATAATCAAGAAAGTTTTAGTCAACCCAAAAGAGAAATACTCAATTTTTTATCCTCTTCT